ATTTGCTTCGACATTCCAATCTTCGTTTCGCTCTTTTATCCAAATGGGCAACCAAAAGACGGCAACCAGAACCGGCGCACGAAAGTGCATGGTTAATGGTTGTAAAAACTGAAACTGAAACTGGCGGACGCATCACAGATGAAGTGTCGGTGCGCACACAAAAGGCTCGGTTGGCATTTGCCAACTTGAGACATTTGTAGCGTCGTCGCGACATACGGTTGTCTGTGAAAGATCGAATATATGCTGCAGTAGTTCGGCCAGTCCTGCTCTGTGGTGCAGAGACTTGGCCACTAAGGGAACAGGATAAAAATAAATTGTCGGTGTTTGAACACCGCTGTTCACGTTAGTCCACTGGAGCAGATAGTCGACCATAGATTACGGTGCTTGGGGCATGTGCTACACATGTTACCAGATAGGTTGTCACGGCGAGCGATGTTTACCGAGGCAGGGAGTGGTTGGAGAAAGCTCAAGGGTGGTCAAACGAAGACCTGGCCTGAGGGTATGAAAACCCTATCCAGGAGTTCTAGTCACATAGGTCCCTGGCTGGGGCCCCGGAGATCATGGTCATCGGTGGTTAGAGACACCGAGTGTATCGCGGACAGTGGCGCTCATGCATCCATTCGTTATTTTTCTAACACCACTCTATATGTATTCCCCATCTTCTGCTTAAATTTGCTTCGACATTCCAATCTTCGTTTCACTGTTTTATCCAAATGGGCAACCAAAAGACAGCAACCAGAACCGGCGCACGAAAGTGCATGGTTAATGGTTGTAAAACTGAAACTGTACTATGGTTTGTTTGGCACACACCCTGGACTCAGACGTGTTTGGAGATATAATGATTATAATTGCAGCCTTCTGGCAAAGATGATTGTTGTCTCTTCAGCCATTATTATCATTCGGTGTCTGTTTCTAAGGTTGACTAAAATATCCGCCTCTCACGGTTCTGGCAATACGTAGCAATTGATGAACAGATAGCTTAGAATATAGCTTTGTGCATGCGTGTTTCCCTCAAAGAGTTTGTTTATATCACCTCTTATTGTGCACCTCAATCCTTCACCAATCCCGGTCAGGGTCGTCGTATGCTGGTTTTGGCTACAACCAGCTGTCGTGCGGAATTGGCCGAACAGAACTTGACTCAAGTGTTCTCGTGGCACATCCATGTAAGTCCAATGACTCGACCGGAACATATCATGTCTGCACTGGAAGAGGATGATCGGTTCACTCAGGCCGAACGACAGCGTATCGAACGTTGCCTGGCTGGGAAGAAGTGAGTTCCGTAATCCGACTTGTCTTTATTTTTTCTCCTTGCCGCTTCCTGTTTCCACACTCTATTTCCTTATTCTACATACCACTAGACGAGGCTGACTCCTATAGCCGTGGCAAGATGCTGTTCAGTTAGAGGAACCGGCAATCTGGTGACCCACCGAGGGGCCTACTGGAATAACTATGTTTGTTTCCAGATTACTTTCTTCTATGCTACGGCATATCTGCTTCGTGCAAAATCATTGTTGTCTGATACAACTTGGCGTCCCGAATAACGCTCGGCCTCTCTTCCCCTTGTCCAATTACTGTCTGTCTGGGCCGAATGGTAATCGTTGCTGTCAAATGTGATGTTGAGTCTATTTCGCACCCTCCACGGACTTGTGGGTTTTTTATTAGGTGTCGCTCGTCAGGCACAATCTAATCATCATCCTATTCGTCCAAAAGTGATCAATAAACGGAACAGTGACCATTTATTCACGGTTAATTACCTAGGTACCTTTCCTCCTATCTAAGCTCAATAGCACACCGCTCCTTTGATCTTATTTTGTAATTATCCTAGGATAGGGGTAGCGCTGAACTGGACAATAGCAAAGTGAACTATCGCCTAGATTGAGTATTGGCGCCACAGTTGAAACCTCATGATCCGGGGCACGCCACTGACCGCTATCCAAACAGCGTCAACAGCAGCTATAGCACGTACTCCACAGCGGTCTAGCAACAGTCATTTCGTGTTGCGCAAATGTTCTTGAAACCTGTTGCCATCACACCTGTAGTAAAGGTTTTAAACGAAAAAGCACTATCACTATCTTCAGGTGCTGAGTCAAGGAATCTACTTTTTCGACTGTTTCACTCATGTTAGGTGTAGTCAAATGTGTTTTTATCTTTTGCTTGTGTGACGGACAGTAGAACGGTTCAGTTCCCTAGTTACGGGGCCCCTTTTTCACTTACGAGAACATGCGTCTCATGTCTGACTTAATTTGATGAACCCTAAATGTTCCATCGAATGAATGTGGTTTTGAGTTAAGGAATAGCGAAGCCAGCCACCAGCTGCATTCAGCAATCCAGCTTCTGTTTGTGTTGGAAGATTACTACCACAATTTCTTTTGTACTCCTTGGAATCATGTTTCGATGGCATCCGAGCGATTCTTTCTTCCGTCAAGGTGTGTTTGTCTAGATCGAATGGATGCAGCTCCCTCATTTGGGGTTTGCTTTGGTCGCTTTGGTGGAAGCTTTCTGCTGAAGATGATTCCCGATGACCGAAGCGATATGCGCGTGCGATGTGTGATTCGGCGTTCAATGTTAAGTTTTACCTGACAAATGACCACGTCAACTGCCGAAAATTATAAAATTTGCAAACCTGTGTTTCCCAGTGGGTTTCGCCCCGCTATTTGAAGCGCATGTAGCCGCATGATAAATTGGATAGATTATAATACTGCGCATCTCATTGAACACCATCCTACGATACCCTGTTGAAAGGGTGAACCGCGTGGTCATCGAGGCCTATTGTTTACGTCTGGTTATACGCAGCAGAACGATTTTACAAAACTGGGTGTCGTCTGTTCTGTTCTAATACTAGATGGTCAGGAATTAGCTGAAGTTGGCCACCTCATACTTAGGTAGCTGCGTGACCAACGACGGTAGCGCATCAAAGGAGATAACCGCCCGCATTTCCCAGGCTCGAGCGGCGTACGCAGGACTTGAACACTTGTGGCGGCGACGTGGCGNTGGCGTTTCCCTACAGTTGATAAGTCGCGTATACTGCGCCACTGTACGATCAGTTCTACTTTACGGTTGTGAGACCTTGAATTTGCGGGTAGAAAACATCCATCCTTGATAAAGTACCAAACGCACGGTGGATTACCTCCAAGTTAATAACCCCTTCACTCCATCCTACATAGCCAAGTTGATCCGCTCGTGTCCTGCGTTTATCTCCTTTTCTGATTTGGATTTATCATACAAACGGATGAATGATGTACATAACCAGTTCAGCTTACGTGTTTGCTTTTCGTTAAGATTTAATTTTCAACATCCCACTCATGTGCGTATCCTCCATCCAGAAAATCTGTTTTCTTCTTTCTTTGTATAATTTATTGTTTTCATTCAACAGGAAAATCCAACAGCACAACATTGCAGTATTTATGACAACTGCAAGTTCATTGCTTCTACTTCAATCCTTCAGTTTTCTCCTTCCAGCAAAATCAATTAGGTTTTCTTTATCAAACGGTTTTCTGTTAAAATGTGACTCTCTTAGCTCCCTACCATTTTTAAAAAACCCGTTTCCGGTTCCTTCTTCTTCAGACTCTGCATTGGTATCAAACANTGGTTTCAAAGGTACGTGTCTGCTTCGTTATCTTTTACCCGAGTTGTTCCCTCAAACCTACTCGTTTAATCGTTTCATGTCAGAAACCACACTTCCCAAAGCGAAAGTGTCTTTTCATTTGGCAAGTGTGAGTTAAACATTAGGTTATCCGTGACTTGTTT